GAAGCGGGGGTTTGCGCCGGGGGCTGGGACTTAAAAAAAAAAAACACAAAAAAACAAAAAACCCAAACTGAAAAAGAACCCCCAAACTCCGTGGGTTTTTTATTTTTTTTAAAGCGAGGTGGCCTCTCTCGCCTTGGAGCTGCGCGGTGCGGAGCTTCTCTCGTGATCCGGTGTCTCCTCTGGTTCCCGCCCGGGGCGATGGAGGCGGCGGGTGCGGTGCTGGTCCCGGGCGGCGGGAGCTGGGGGCCGGGCTGGCGCTGGCTCCCTACGGGCGTCGCCCTGCGCCCCAGGTACCCAAATATGGACCCCGGGGCCGCGCTCGCCCCTTCGACGCCTCCAGCTGCCGACTGTTGGGGGGCGAAAGGCGGCGAGCGGGGGGTCGAAACGGAGTCGTGGGCCCTTGCGGTGCTCTTGGGGCGTTTCAAGAGAAACCAGGTGGTGGTTTCCAATAAAAGCTGCGTGGCTGGCTGCCATTCCCTCGGGTCTTGTCCGTCTATCAGAGTTCTTACCCGGGAGTGTATCGAATGGGATGGCAGCTCAGCCTCTAGCCCCGCACCTGGTGGCTAGCGCAGCCCTGGGGCTTTTTTGTTTTAGTTTGTTTTTTTTTTTCTCCCCCCCCCATAAGGGTGTTTTAAAGTATTCGGCTACCTGCCCAAGTGCAGAATGGCGTGACTTCCATTTCCCATAAAGTGCAGCAGGTTTGCTCTGCTTGTTTAGCTGCTGAGCGCTGCTGCTGCGACCTGGTAAGATGTGAAATACGGCGTCAGACACGTGCAGCAGGGGAGATTCAGGGGGGGAAAGCGTGCTTGGCTTTGACAGCTCAATTAATTTGACAGCGACAGTGCAGGAGGACTGAGAGTACGGGTGTGTGCTCGTAAACTTGTAAAAAATCAGTGTCCTCAACTATTAGCTAACGTTGGGAAATGAGGATCTAGAAGGGAGAGGGGGAAGTGCCCCAGCTCTTCTGTTGCCGGGCCTTTTGGCTGTTTGAACAGATTCATAGATGATTGAATCTTGTAATAGATATTCCTCAGCTCTGCCAGGAAGGAGAACGGTCACTGAAGTGTTGCTGGAGATCGTCCAGCTCCTTATTAAGAAGAATTATTGGAGGTTTGTCAGGTTCTCCTGGTATTATGCACTTTTGGCTGCAGAAATGCCTTGTTTTACATGAAATTATCAGGCGTTGTACCAAGAGGAACGTGTGGCCTCTGCATTAAAGCCCTGACTCATCCTGTTCACCTGTTGCTGTGTGCTCCAAGGGATCCTTGCCTCAGCCTTGGGCACCTTTCAGGGCAAGTTTTCAGTCATCTCAGCATAATTCCAGCATCCCCACGTGCCTCTTAAAAATAGGACAGTGTATCTTTGTTCATGCAGAGAAATGCATTAATAGCCTGGTCTGAACAAATTTATTGTTGTGTTTTTTCAGGAGAGCTAATACCCAGGAGTGTCTTTTTCATATGGAACAGATTTTTTGGAGCGTCTTGAGTTCAGTTTAAATTTTATTGGCGAAGTAATAGCTTGTATAAATCTACTGCTACGGACTGTGGGTTGTTGATCTTTTAACCACTTAGACAGAGTACGGTTTGCAGTTTTGTAAATTCTAAACTAACCAAAGAATTAGCTGAAGTGGAAATTTGTGATGGCTTTCATATCTAACAGTACAAAATTAGAGTTTTCTTCCTTTTCCATAACCAGGATAAAAAGCAGACATTTAAGACATCTTGTTTTTAAAGCAATATTGTTTCTAATCATTACAGATCAGTTATGGGGCACAAAGCTGAAGCATTTTTTTTCTATGCTTGGTAGGACCATAAATGTGAATTTCTGGGGCAGAGAATCGTTAATTAATTTTTAGTTGTTTAAAGTCCTCTATAAAAGCACCATGTGCTGGAGAAAAGTTATCTCTATGCAATTATCTCTGCTTCTTTTTTCTTTTTTTTCTAACATGCCCTTTTAAAGAAGCAGAAGGCAAATGTGAAGGCTTGCAGCAGCCCGGGGCTGATGCCAGAGCGCAGCCTGGGCGTGTGGGTCCCCGACTGGGGTGAGACGGGTGGTGTCGGAGCTGTGCATCCCTCATCTCCCATCACTTTTGAACAGGCTGTGTCTCCCACCAAAGGTGTCTGCTTTGGTGATAAGCTCCGGCACGTTCAATTGCTAATAGGAGACAAGATAAATCCTGTTTTCAGTGCCTCTGTGGTGGCTGTGCTTTAACTTTGCTAAAGTGCTATTGAAAAATCCCTCCTTAGTAGTTTATCTCTTACTCCCAGCGAGTGCTGCAAAGCTGAAGCAGTGCTTGGAGTCGGTTTTCAGTGTGTTTGGAGATAAAGCTTTTGTTTGCTGGGTTGGAAATGTGGCTCAGCACACTGGGGAGGCTTCTGGAACAGACTTAATTGCGGCGTGTATTTTGTCAACAGGACTATCAGTACTGAGGAAAAGCATTGGGATCGTTTGAAACTATTGTTATTTCTCTGTTGGCAGCGGAGTTTGGAGTTGTAATTTTTTTCTCCCTAGCTTTCAGAAGGCATAACTGATATGCAGAAGGGCTGGTGCGCTGCAGTTGCTCACAGTTAATGCAGTGTGGCACAGATTTTTTTTTTTTGTTCTTAAAAGCAAAAGGCAGCTCAATGCTGCATGCCAGTCATATAAGTAAGTGTGCAGGACTTGCTGGCTGAGCAGCCCTGAGCAGGGCATGTTGCAACACTCCGGCATGACCCATACTGTCCTCGCAGGAGCTGCGGCACCCAGCTGCTGCGAGTTCTGCAGCTGTGGAAACCCCCTGGTCCGGGGGAATGCCAGGAAAATCAAAACTCTGCTGAGCAGGACTCCTTTGTAGTGTCTCACTTCGAAGCTGCTGGAGATGCTTCGTGTCTTTTGGTTGTTTAAGTCTGAAGTTTATTTTTACATTTAGAGTGTAATACGTGGCATAAACTTTAGGGCCAAGCTTATGTACAAAATGTTTTGTGCCCAGAAAAGCCAGGTGCAGGGCTCCAGTAATGTTGGTGACATGGCACATCCCCTGCATCCTCAGTTTCTGTCTCTCCATGCATCTTATTTTGTGAGGAGTGATGGTAGGATGATTTCTTCCAGGCATAATGTATAAGTGTGTTTTTCTTCCTTTTTAGTGGTAGTGCAATAGGATTTTGGGTACAAATTTTAGTGGTGAGAAGGCTTTGGAGCTGTGGATGTGCAGTTGGATAGCTAATTAATTGCTGGTATGGTCTGGAGGAATGAAATCTTTTATTTTAAACAGGGAGGCTCAGGAGTTCGGCTGTAGGGATAAGTTGCCCTGAGGCACCAGCTGCATGGATGCTGGCTGTTTGCATCGTGCTGCTGCTCTCTGGAGAGAGCTGGGCAAAGTGTTGGGATGCTTTTGAATATCCTGTGGGTGCCTGTCAATGGTTTTAGGGCCTGGAAGTGCATTTAAACTAGGAGTTGGGAGCAGACTCTTGCTGTGCTCAAGTGTATGCACACAGAGGTTTTGTTGAAGGCAACAAAACTGGATGTTTGTGCTCAAAATTACCTATTAACTTAAATTTCTTGCTAAAGCTGGGTTTTAATGTGGTTGGGGTCTTGTTGCTCTGCTCTCTCATGTTAAGGTAGCTTTTCTGCTTACTGGGTAGAGCAGAGAATTTGCTGTCCTACTGCCTGTGTGCGTGGTGCTCTCTGGAGGTGGACACTGGTTGCTCTGGGGTAACTCGTGCTCCTCTGCAGATGCTGGAGGAGAAGGTGGTGTGTGTGGGGACTCTCCTGCTGAGGGCGCCGGGAGCGGGGAGTGCTGTTGGCAGTTTTTCCTCTGCATGTCCCACTTCCAGCCCTGCTGAAATAATGGAACAAAGATTAAGTAATCGTCACCCTGGGCTTGCGGTGCCTGGCCCTGTGCAGCTGCAGAGCCCTCACCATGTGCTGGCTGCCCTGGGGGCTGCTGGGCTTGGGAGGATGGCTTGGGAGAGGGGGATGTGGATCTGTGCAGGTGGCTGGTCCCCCTCCTTCCTCCTGGGGCAAGGGACTGGAAACCCAAAGAAATTCTGCAAAGCCAGCGGGTCCCTCCTGCGTGGTGGTCTGGGGGAAGGCTTCGTGCTGGACGCTGGTGGTGCTTGTAAAAGAAATCATGCTCAGCTTGTAATGACACGCTTGGGTTTGGTGGCTCCTGGAGCACCGTCAGCAGGGGCCTTGCTCGGGGAAGGTCTCCAGCCCTGGGGCTGTGGGATGGCTCTGCACCCTGCGGGCTGGCAGCTGCTGCTCTGGACCTCGATGCTGGTGGGGTAAACAGCAAAGCCTTTCTCTGCAGAGTGGTGCCTCTCTGGGCCTGCTGCTTATGCACAAATAAATACATGTGCTTGCAAATAAATCCACCCTTCCTGTGAACATGTGTCGGATTCACTGACCACCCTCAGCAGGCCATGGTATTTATTGGTGCTTGCTGGAGAACAGCAGTTAATGGCAAGCCCTTTGCAACTGCTGTCTGATCTTCTTGTCTTAATCCTGACTGAGCCACAGCTGGGGCAGAATTTATCTCAATCAGACTAGGATTAGAAGTGTATGTAAGATTCATAATGAAGCCTGAATGGGATAAAATCCCCCCTAAGAGTCTTTCTGGTTCTTGCAGAAGCCCCTGGCTTCAAGTGAAAGGCTCCAGGACCCCCTCAGCCTCCTTCTGCATCTGCCTCTCTCCTTTTGAGAAACTTCGTGGCATTTAATCACTTTGAGGCTTTTCCTCTCTGCAGTGACTGCAATTTGAAACGCAGGGGTCCCATACAAAAGGAGCAAGTGCTCAATGGACTGTGTTAATATTCAGTGCCATTTACAATGGGTGCAGTTTGAAAAGGGGAGAACGGATGGTCTGGGAGCTGGGGGAGGAGGAGCTGTGGAGGGAAAATTCCCAGGGCAGGGGAACGAGCATCTCAGTAGGCAGCCGAAAAAATGAACACACCATCAATTGTTCTCTAGGAAAATCAACTATTATTATGTGTTAGATTCAGCTTAATATTTTTTCTTTGCTGGTGCAAACTGCTCTGCAGTTCTGTGGATGTAAGGTTTGGGGGTGGCTGAGCCTTGCAGGAGTTTTTGCTTGGAGTTCAAGGGATGAAGGAACAAATGTGAGGCTGATTGCCTTTCCCCGTTGCTTGCTGGCACCAAGAGGCTAGAGGTGGTAAACCGATATCTTTGGGAGCCCAGACACTTGAACAAAGCACTTCAGGTACTTGAATGCTTCCTTGAGCATGAGTGAGACTTCACTTCCCTGTTTAAAGTTAAACTGGTGCTGGAGTCTTGTCTCTGCATCTGCCTAAAT